CTTGGCCCAGCCTCATGGAGTTCCACCCTGTGTACGCGTGGCTCACTATTCAAGAACAGACAGGAGGGGAACCCTCTGCAGATTTCTGGATCTCTTTTTGTGATCAGGTCTTTCTCCCGTCCTCCTTCCTGAAAATCCCAGCCACCTCTGTCTCTCCAAACTCTGATCTCTGTTTCTGTAATTCAGTGGGATGCCATGCTCTGCTCCAATCCCTCCCTGCACCACAGTCTAGGAGCTGCCTCCAGGCAGAAAGCCGGGGTGATTACAGGGCTCTTGTCATCTGTTTCCCTTCTCTCAGGGATCACAGTCCTGCTATGTCTGTGGCTTGAAAACTGTTGTTTCACATATTTTGTCCAGTTTTCTAGTTGTTTATGGTTAGAAGTCAATTCAGTCCTACTTGCTCATCATAGCTGGAAGCAGAAGGACTGACTTGTGTTCTTACCGTCAGTTAATATAAGCATAAACACGGGGCTGTGCAGGTCTAGGGGTGTCCAAGGGCTGGAGTGAGAGGGCACATGAATGGCACTAGCTCTTTTCCTCTCTTCTGAACCTTCTTAAGAATTTTCAGTTCTGTCCTGGACCGGTTCCCTGGACTACATGTGTCCAGGCATACGGAGAGTTAAATGCCTGGCCTGCTCCCTGCAGGGTTTTGAAGATTAGTGCATGAGCATCACTTTTACTTGATATGTGTAGACAAATATAAGTAAAAAAAATTAAAAATATATGTGTAAATATATTTATATTTATCTATACATATCAATTAACATATATTTGGACCATCCGGCTAAAGTCAAAATTAAAAGAGCCCTGAACCAGAAGCCCAGCAGACTTGGTTAGAGTCCAGGCTCCCCATTTACGGATCTGTCTAACTTTGGGTGACTCATGAGAATGCACTGAACAAATTTCCTCTAGGAAAACATTGCATAGCAAAGTTGAGAAAGGGGAAAGACATGAGGCGAGGGCTGGGGATCAAATGAAATGACTTTTGTAAACTGGAGAGCAGTGGGCAAACGTGTGGTGTTCCTGTTAGCTTTACATGATCTATGTGGGCAGGAGGCAGATGTAGCCAAATGCCAAAGTCTCTCTGCAATGCATGCTCCACACAGCAGCCAGAAAGCTCTGGCAAGAGCATCAGGTAAGTCACCTCTTCTTCCTTGAAGCTCATCAATGGCATGTCATTATGTGTTGAATAAAACTTGGACTTTTTATGAAGGATCGTTACTCCAGCAGCCTTATCTCCAGCCTCTTCCTCCCTCACACTCTGTGCTGAAGCCTCAAGCACTCTTTCTGCTTCTGGAACACACCACCCTGTCCCCCTCCTCAGGGCCTCTAGAGCTGGAGCTCCCCTCTTCTTGAATCACCCCCTTCCCTTCCTAGGTTTCCCTCTTCTTCCTGAATCCCCTGCCTTCTCCCACCATGGCTGCTTCTGTCTTATCCTGAAGCTTTTAGCCCAACATCCTCTCCCCAGAGAGGTCTTCCCACAGCCTCCAACGCAAAGAGCGCTATGCCTGGGATTCTCTCTCCTTGATGGCAGTTGTTCCAGGTTCTGACTCTACATTCACTGCATGTTCTTGTGTGTTTAATATGTCTGTACCCTCTCTGGACTGTGAGCTTCACAAGGCAAGAGCTCGCTTTATTTGTTCCCTTCTCATTTCCAGAGCCTCACACAGGGCCTGGAGGAAACTTACTGGAAGGACTCCTCAATGTTTTACCAAGTGCTAAAGATTTATTTTCTTTTGAAAGTTTAAGCTGCCCTCTAGTGGAGAATACAAGCCAAAATTCAGACCTGGCTGTCATTTTTTGTTTTTGTTTTTGTCAATGAGAGCCTCAGACTCTCAAATCAGAGTAGCAGGGACCTAGCATCTCTTCTCTCCCTACAGTGGAGTGAACATCGTGGGCTACCTGCTCACCCTGGGGCCACATGGAGCTCCCTACAACAGTGGATGGAGGGATAAACCTCTCCAGGGGGTCCCCTCCCAGGATCTGGGGGCCCTCCTTACCCTCCTCTGATGTTGAGAATTTGCACTGGTCCATGTCTGCTTTCAGAAACTCATTCATATGCGCGTGCAGTCACGTTCTGTAGTTGGGTAGCAGGACTATAGTAGACCCCTGTCTCCCAGGGGAGCCAAAGCCCTTAGCTATACAATGAATCACCACCTTAGAGGGTGTTTCCTGTCCTTGGGGAACCTAGTGCGCTGATTTGGCTGCAGAGGGCCCAGGGGCAGAGGGGCAGGCCTCTGGAGGGAGCCACTGGCCTCCAGGCAAGCAGGAGAGGAAGGGCGCTCCCTCAGAGCAGTTGGTGTCATAGAGGAAAAAAAGTGTGACAACAGTGTCTCAAGATTGCAAATGGGCTTTGGGAAGTTTTCGGGGAGGGCAGTTACATTTGAGCCCATGTGTAAAGAGAGTACAAGGACCTAGTGGTGAGAAACAGAGCGAAGATATAAAAAAGACCAGGAATAATGGGTGCCACCCCCCCTCCTTAGGGCAGGTAGAATGTTGTGATGGGCCGTGGGTGGAGGGATTGGAAAGGAAGAAGGCAAACCGTTTTCCTTAGGATAAGGGTGAGGGGGCAGGGAAAGCAAACTCCCAAGAAATGTGTGCTCCTAAAAGGGCTCCGCTTAGGGAAAACTCTAGAAACTTTTGATATAATCCGAGCAAGTAACAAATAAACATTGACAGAGGTTCGGAAAAGTATCCACTTTAACAAATAATTTGTCCTTACTGGATTTTGCAGCAGCAAGGGTGTTTTGTCTCTGACCCTGTGGCCTCCTACTCCTTTCCAAGACTTTTCCAGAAGCACTGGTTTGGGTAATATCTTGACCGTTGATGAAATATTTGATAATTGAACAAGAGAGCTATCTTGTCTCCAGCACTGAGGGAGATGAGTGAGGAAAAATCCTGCCACTTGTGGGGTTTGTGGGTGGGAGAGTTAAAAAGACAATTAAGAGAAAGCTAGCTTAGTCCTCAAGGTCTGATGCTAGTTTTGATTTTATTGTTTTGTGTGTTTTCACTTCATGGTGCTCAATAAATGTTTGCTCAGTAAACGAATAAATCTAAGATCAGAGTCTGTACGCAAGTCAAAGAAATCTTGTTTCCTGGAAAAGCAAGCTCAATTAAGTGCAGGTCTCCACAGTTGCCTCTCCTGGCTCCACTGCATTTCAGCTGTAAGAGATCTGAGAGACTTTAGCCCAAGGTCTTCCCTCAAGGGAGTAAGCGGAAATGTTTTCCCTGTGATGAGACAGCGCAGCCTGACTGTCACTACCAGGCTCTTGGCCTTCTGTGGGACTCATCCCACCTGGTCTTCTGGTAACCTCTGCTATCGCTGGCCCATCTCAGCTCTGACCAGATATGGCCTGGCAGAAGCATTAAAGGGTGGCTTCTGGAGTTTGGCTGGTTTGTAATCCTGGCTATGCTGGCTTAAATTGGGCAAGATACTTAACCTCTTGGTGATTCCATTTCCTCATCTGTCAAATGGGAATAATATTTCCTGTCTCATAGGATTTGCGG